AAATGCTGAAAATTTTGCGACGGTTTATGACTAACTGTCACAATGTTAAATTTGCGACGGTTTATGATTAACTGTCGCAATGTTAAACTTGCGACGGTTTATCATAAACCGTCGCAATGTTAAACAAATTTTGCGACAGTTTATGATAAACCGTCGCAATGTTAAACAAATTTTGCGACGGTTTACGATAAACCGTCGCAATGTTGAACAATTTTGCGACGGTTTTGAAAAACTGTCGTATGAAGGGTCGCAATATCAAAGCGACGATGGTTTCTAGATAACCGTCGCAATTTGTCCGTCGCAATTTATCATTTTTCTTGTAGTGTTTCTAATGTGATGAAGGCAATCACTGTATAGGATCATGCATGTTAATTGGTAATGTTGTCACAATGTTTCTCTTTCACACACTTTCATTCTACAATATACAATACACACATCCACACAAATCTAACCAAGGATGTGACGATTGCACCACGTGTAAAAAGTTCTGACTTGTCATTTCTTTTTTGCACGGGGTGAAAGGAGAATATAGGTTCAGGAACGACCAGCAAACAGTGCCAGGTGTTTTATTACATTACCAGCTGCTGTAGATTACAATTTCATATAAGTGCTTAACAAAGAAAAACGATTTCAAGGTTAACAGCTCAAAATCACATACATGTACCTAATAACCTAAAGGCTATTTTTTTCTCAATTCACCGTCTTTAAGTATGAAGATTGAAGAGAAGCTTCTAAGCATCTTTTCAAAACCAAAAACTTGTTCTACAAATTTTCATGGATCAATCAATACAGCCAAGTGTAAAGTGGCTGAAACCAAAAAACTAACATACAAAACCAATGTAAGAGCAAATTTTGATGCGAACTAGAGTAATAGCCCTGAGTAGTAGAGAGACGGAATAATTAAGGGAATATTTGAACAAGAAGCAAATACATTCTAAATCAGAGCATACTACATATTTCATTTTCTATCCTAGTAGTATTAAAGCTTCCACGAACAACAGTTGTTTTCACAACATAACGGATGCCGGGTAGAAAATGATATATCCATGCTAACGTAGGATTTCAAATAATGATTTTTCACCAGTAATCACCACAAGAGCATTTACCATCCTTGAAATGATGAAACCTTTTGTTATCTCTGACAATCAATTCTCTCCCTACAATCCTGGACATGATCTTGATGGCATTGTGACAGTCACCACAGACACGAAGGTTCTTGATGATTCTAAGAGGAGTTCTTGGTGGAGTACTAATAAGACCGTAGGCAATTGCGAGACGCTCACTGTGGTAGAGCAAGGCTTGCTCCTTTGCTTCCTGATCAATGTCATGAAGAACATATCTTGTATCAGGCACATACCCTGCTTCTTTCATCCCACTCAAGGCCTTCAACTTTTCATCATCCTTGTAAAGAGTAGGATTCTTATACTCAATAATTCTGTTCCTGCCATCAAGCATGCTAATTGCAGTATACTTCTTCGGAGGTGGCGTGGGGATCTTATTTGCAACAGCCTTTGATGGGTCAAGACTAACCATCAACTCTTCAGCATAGTCTTCAAGATCAACATCTCCATGAATGCGAGCATAATGCTTGAGAGTCTCCCATACAGTTGACGTAGGCTCGAATGGCAACTTGTCAATAAACTCCTCAGCTTCCTTGAGATATGCAGATTGTCCAAGAACATCCAAAAGCCCCATGTAGTGCTCCACCCCAGGCTCAATTCCATACTTGCTTTTCATGGACTCAAAATGTAGGTAAGCATCCTCCACAGCCTCTGCACTGGCACAAGCTGATAACACTTCAATAAAAGTCTCTGAAGTGATCTCCAAACCCAGCTCATTCATCTGCTCAAACAACTGCAAGGCCTCATCTCCATTGGTGTTATTTGAGTAGCCACGCATCATTAAGAGCCAAGAATCCATATTCCTGTTGGGCATATGATCAAACACCCTGCGTGCATCAGTCATGCTTTTACAATTCCCGTACATTTCAATCACCTTGTTGTTCAACTTGAGATCACTCCTAAAAGTGGATTGCAGAAAGTGGTCATGAGCCTTCTTGGCATCCTCAAGGGACTTGGATTGGCCACACAAGTCAAACAAAAGGTCAAAGCAACTAGCATCAGCTTTGACCCCTTTGTCCATCAATTCAATTGCCTCTTTAACTTTCCCCTCTTTGCACAAACGTGTCAAATCAGTGATTGAAGGGGGTGGAGGAGGAGGAGCATGAGGGGCTTGTCCTTGAACAGAAGCTTGATTGTTGTTGTTCAACTCGTTATTAGGGTTTTGGAATTGGTTAGGGTTTGGGAACCCCTGAGTCCTAGGGTTCCACTGGTTGGGGGTAGTAGCAGGGTTTTGATTGTTCCATCGATTGGGGGTAGTGGGTGGGCGAAAGTTGGGATTTTGAGAAGTGGGTGTTTGAAAGTTGGGATTTTGTGGTGTGGGGGGTTGCGGATTCCACTGGTTATGGCTACGCCCATGTTCCGGAAATGGAGGAGGAACATTGTGTTGGCGAGGTTGATGGTTAGGGTGAGGAAATTGATTGGAAGGAGCAGGGTTGTGGTAATGGGTTTGTGGGTTGAAATGTTGAGGGTGATGTTGTTGCCATTGATCAGAGGGAGGCTGTGGTTGGTGTTGCTGGGAAGGGAATCTTTGATACTCGTGAGGAAGTGCAGAGGTGCTTAGAGATTTTGTAGTTAGGGTTTGGCCATGGATAAGGTGCGTCCGAAGGTTGAAGGAAGAAGAGAGCATTGTTCTTCGAGCACGCTGAATCAACGGGAACGTCGCCATTTCGCAGTGAAAGAATGGCAGAAGCAACTAGGGTCTACGGAGGATTTTTGAGATTTTATTCATCGGAGGACAACACAAGTGCTCTGGTTCCTCATTTTGTCTTTGGGCCATGGGCTCTTATTTTGGGTCGTCGTACCCCCCCTGATATGCTAAACCTACACCCCCCCCTTTTGTATTTTTTTTTTTTTTGTTGTTGAAAAAACCTCTTTTAATTCTGAAATACACTTTTGCAATAAGGTCATAATTATTTCAGATTTTAGAGTGTGATAGAATTTTAACACTTTCAAAAGCTAATTTTTTGAAAGGCTGCGTGTATTTCACCTACACATGACAATGAATAGGGTTTTTGGTAGGATATTATTGTACTATTCATATTTGAAAAATATATTTGTGTATATTTCTTCATCGTAATTTTCGTATCCATTTAATACCTTGCAAGTATACATGTACCTGTTACTCGTACTTTATTTATTATAAAATTAATAAATTAACAAAAAATACAAATTAAAAAATATTATAACTAAATTAAAAACTCACTCTTAAATTATTCAAACATAACTTTAAAATATTTAAACATAAGGCATAACTCGTAATCAAATAACATTAGAAACATAAAATTTTAAATACAAATTTTAATCATTTAATAATATTATTAATATTAATGAAAACAAGTTAATTAGAATAGACTTTAATGAGTTTAGGTCTATTCTATTTTATTTATCTTATAGATTTTTTTAAGGTTGAATTTGACTTGTTTAAAAGGTTTCCTAGCCTAAAAGTTTATCTACATAACTTGTTTTGTATAAGATGTATAAACATATTTATAAGTCTAAGTGCACGTTTAGGAACTAATTTAATTTGAAAAAATATCACAATGAACGACAAAGTAATAAAATGTTGTTTCTTGATTTTTTATTCGGGAATGCGTAAAATCCAATTTGCATCAATGCAAATAGGTTTTCAAACATGTTCTAAGTAGGCCAACAAGTCTTGTTCATCATATTTTTTTTCTTATATACAATAGTTGTACTTTGGTCAAAACCTAATACTTCTTGTATATTATATCCCAACTCTCTTCCCCTTACTAGGCTAACCTAGTGGTTCTCATTCATTTTTTTTTTTTTTTGTAAAAATCAATAGTAATAATATTAAAAAAAATATCGGGCTTAATAATAAAATTGCATTCTTCTTTATGAATTCAATTTTTCAAATTTACTAATAAAGATCAAATATATTAAATATATAGAGAGAAATTTAGAAAATATAGTCACTAATTAAAACAATCATTGTCCCGTAACTAAAAAATACAAAATATAAGACTATACAAAGCTATAAATGTGAAAGGTTAGTGAATGTTTGTAGCATAAGCCTTACAGTCATATAATAGTAACGCTTTTAAAATTTCTAAATTAAATTATTTTCATTAAAAAATTTATTATTAGTAATTATATGTGTTAATATAAGCAATATATATAGAGAGAGAAAGAGAGAGAGAAAAACATTATATATATTATATATTCATCTCATTATCATGAAATATCGTATGAACATTAATCTCTAAAGTTTAAATATTATTTTTGTCTAATAATATTTAAAGAAACTAAAACATGAAAAAAAACTAAGGATTAAATTATCTAAAATCATAATTAAAAATACCAATAAAAGATACAATAACTCTAATTAAATAAATAAAATAGTACAATTTAGAATGTTAGGTTAAAATTTTATATTATAGGGTATTTTTATTTAATTAATTATATAAAAATAAAAGTACAAGATGACAAGATGGGTACTATAATACTTGTACCACCCTCATCTCCATTGAATTTTGCAGGTAAATCCTTGCCTCACAACCCATCCTTGTTAAGTAGACTTTTACCCTCCCAATTGAGGAAGGTATTTTTTGACAGTACTTGTGGAGTCCGGTTATATTTTTCTATCCATATTCACTCCATATCTTCACCCCGTTATTCCAACTACCACTAAACAAAACATCTTCAACAACAACAACAACAATAAAAACAACAACAATAGTAATAATAATAATGATGATGATGATGATGATGATGATGATGATGATGATGATGATGATGATGATGATGATGATGATGATGGAATGAATAAATAAATAAATAAGTAGGGGCACTAGTGGGCATACAAAGTACAAGTGAAAACACACACTAAGGGATAGATGTAGTTGAAAGTATATCATATGACATTTTTTTGGAGCCTCAATTGATTTTGAAAGGAGAGAAAACAGAAGAAAAAAAGTAGGAGTTGTAGAAGTTGACAAAAAAGTGGTTCCACAAAGAGATTCTTGTAAAGTCATCAATGGTGAGGTTGAGACTCATGGTGGTGACTTTTGATTGTGGAATGGTTTCAAAAGAAAGGAAATGAAAGAATGTTATGGAATATGTATGAATATAGTGGTACATATATTGGTAAGAGGATAAGGTAAGTTGGATAGTGGATTCACCTTTATTGGTAATGCGGGTGTATTAGTGTGAAAAGATAATTGTGAAAATGAATTTTTTTCTTAGATGTGCCCAATGGAACAAAGTCGTTCAATACCTAATACCACCTTAGCACCTTAAACCAAGAGAAGATAGCATGGAATTTGGAAAAGTTTATGTTGAAAAATGATGGGTTCCTTTGGGCAAAGGCTTGGACAAAGTTACGTGTTTGTCATTTCCTACCATGATTGAAAAAGGATTCATCAGTATTGTATGAAGATTGAGGTGATGGGCTATACATGATTAAAGTATATTATAAGAGTTGTCTGTGTCCATAAGTATCATGTTTGAGAGACCATGTATGAAGCCTTGGAACTTGAGGATTTAAAAGCTTAATTGGAGAGTTAAAATTGGATAGCATTAAATGGATTGTCCAATGAGGATGGTTTTAGAAGAGTGGTGGTGGTAATTGGGTCATGATGGCAAAAACTAGGAGAAGTGATAGGTGTTCTTCTCGTATATAAAACTAAGCATTAAAGTATTCTAAATATATATGCCACCCAATCACGTGAAAGTCTTGAAAGATGTAACCTATTTCAAAGGGAATCGTATCATATAAGACTCTCCAATTAAAAATGCTTGGAACTTGATTCTTTATAAGGGTAAAAAAGGCTAAGGAGACATATAGACTGTGATTACGGAGAAATTAAGTTTATGAATCCAAAGAACAATTTTAATTATATATATATA